AGAGTTTAAAAAAGAAAAGTGTTGAAAAGTAATTGGTTTTGATTTTCATTTCCATGATTGCTAAGAACACTGATTTTTTTTCCATATAATTGTTGGTACTTTGCATTTTTTATTTTGAAAAATGTCTGTTTAGTTCATTTGCTTGTTTATTTTGATTGGGTTATTTTTTTTTGAGTTCTATATATATTCTGGTTATTAATCTTCTGTCAGAAAAGTAGCTGCCTCTTCGTACTCTTGTTTCCTTTGCTATACAAAAGCTTTTTAATTTGAAGTCACCCAACTAATTAATTCTTGGTTTTATTTCTTGAATTTAGGGAGTCTTATTAAGGTAGTTGGTGCCCATGCCAATATGTTGGAGTGTTGACCATAGGTCAACAGATGCAATGCATCAGGTCTTATTCCTAGGTCTTTGATCCACTTTGAGTTTATTTTTGTGTGTGATGAGAAATAGGGATATAGTTTCACTTTTTTTTACATATGTATATCCAGTTTTCCCATTTTTGTTAAAAATGTTATTTTTTCTCCAATGTGTGTTTTTGGCATCTTTATCAAGGATCTGATGACATCTATATGTATTTGTCTCTGGTCTTCTATTTCATTGGTCTTCATGTCTGTTTTTATGCCAATACCATGCTGCTTTTATTGCTATAGCTCTGTGCTATAGTTTGAGATCAGATATTGTGATGCCTTCAGCATCATTCTTATTGCTCATAGTTGCTTTGGCTATTCTTGATCTTTTATCCTTCCTTATGAATTTTAGGATTTTTTTCTAGTTCCATGAAGGATGTCATTAGTATTTTGGTGAGGATTACATTGAATCTGTATATTGCTTTTTTTTGTGGTCATATTGACTATATTAATTCTGCCTATTCAAGAACATGGTAGATCTTCCATCTTCTAAAGGTCTTTTTCAATGTATTTCTTCATTTTTCTATAATTTCACTGTACAGGTCTTTTACCTCCTTGGTTAGATTTATTCCTAAGTATTTTATGTACTTATTTTTTGAGGATATTGTGAATGGAATTGTTTTCCTAATTTTTTTTGCAGGGGGTGGAGGTACTGGGTATTGAATTCAGGAGCACTAGACCACTGAGCCACATCCCCAGCCCTATTTTGTATTTTATTTATAGACAGGGTCTCACTGAGTTGCTTAGCACATTGCTTTTGCTGAGGCTGGCTTTGGACTTGCAATCCTCCTGCCTCAGCCTCCCAAGCTGTTGGTGTTACAGGCATGCACACCGTGCCTAACGTTTTCCTAATTTCTTTCTCAGAAAATTCATTATTAACATTCAGGGAAACGAAAATCAAAGATATGTTGAAATTTCATCTTACTCTAGTTAAAATGGTAATCATCAAAATTATAAGTAATAAAAAATGCTGGTGAGATGTGGTGAAAAAGGTACACTCATACATTACTGTTGGGTTGGCAAATTAGCACAACCACTATGGAAAGTACTATGAGATTCCTCAGAAGACTAGGAGTGGAACTACCATATAATCCAGCTCTCTCATTCCTGAGTATTTATCCAAAAGAATTAAAATCAGCATACTATAGTGATGCATGCCTACCAATGTTTGTAGCAGCACAATTTATAATAGTCAAATTATGGAATCTCTCAATAGACAACTGGATGAAGGAAATGCTGTATATATACACAATGAAGTTTTACTCAGCCATAGAGAAGACTGAAATTAGGTCATTTACTAGTAAATGAATGAAACTGGAGAACATCATGCTGAGTAAAATAACTCAGATGCAGAAAGTCAAGGGTCAAATATTATCTCTTATATATAGAAGCTAGAGAGAAATAAGAAATCAAAAGGATAAATTTCATAAAAATAGGATGAAGAACAGTGAAGTGAAGGAAAGATAATGAGGGGGAAGAGAAGGAATGGGAAAGGGGAGGAACAGAAGAATGAAATTATCCAAACTATGTCATGTTCACGTACGAATATTTCAGTGAATTTCACTCTAAAACTATAATGCACCTGTTTTAAATATCACTTAAAATGTAATTGTAATTAGGCTGAGATAGCTCTAGAGTTCTGGATTCCTACCTAAATAAACTAAAACACAACTCAGTTGAAAATAAAATAAAACCTAAAGTTAACCAGTCAGAAAACATCAACTAACCTCCACTTCAACCAATCAAGTAGTTTCCTCCTTTACCTCTTCTAAATATCCTCTTAAGCATTTTCCCCAGCTGGGTGTGATGGCATATGCTTGTAATGCCAGTTACTCAGCTGAGGCAGGGGATTACAAGTTCAAGGCCAGCCTCAGCAACTTAGCAAGACCCTAAACATTGTAGTATTTTGAGACAGAAGACATCATCTATGAATGAGGAAGACACTTATCAGACAGCAAATCTGCCAGTTTCTTGATCTTGGACTTCCCAGTTGCCAGAACAGTGAAAAATAAATTTCTGTTGTGCATAAGTCATCCAGGTTATAGTGTTTTGTTATAGCAGCAGAAATGGACTAAGACCTAAGGTTCCCCCAGTCTCTTTTCTGGTTGTTTAAAAATCCTTTTCAAATCTAGCAACTTGGACTACCTGCTTAAATGATTATTTTATTTTCCTCATTATCAGTGCTTCACTTTTCCTATTATGAAAGTAAAAAAGTACTCGTGATTTTTGTAAAACAAATCAGAAATCAAAAAAATAACATCCAGACACTAGTCAACAGAAAACTGAGAGGCAGGGAAATGCTTGCCAAATGCCGTGCTGCGGGATCAAACCCAGGGCATCACACACGCAAGGATGAACGTCATCCCCAACTTTTAAGAACCTTAAAGGGAACTACTTTCAAATATACAGAAAAGTGGCAAGAATCAGATTAATTCAAAGAAAATTCCTCAGCTCTTCAATTTTACCCATTTGCTTTATCAATTTTTTCTATGTATATGTACATGTACACACACACAAACATACACACATAGATTTTTTTTGAAGTTTTTGAGAGTAAACTGCATGCACATGGCCCATGACCTCAAACTATATCAGTGTGTGTTTCTCAAGAAGGTACCCTTTTACATGTCAGTGTACTTTTATTCCAATCTCCCATGTACTGTCTAATAGATCTAATATTATCCTTTGGGGCATTTATTTTACCTTTAACACAAGATCCAGTCTAGGATTTTTTTTTTTGATATAGTTGTCACATGTTTTTAGTATAATTTAATCTGGAATATTTCCACATCCTTTCTTTGTCACAGCATTTTTTTAAAAGAATTCCGTCAACTCCCTCCTGCATGCATTCCTCCCCCCTTTTTTTGATAGAACATTCCTCTTTTGGAATTTGATGTTTACTCATATTTAGATTCAGGTATGGATTCCAGGCCAAAACACTACAAAAATGACCTTATCTCCTTCTCCACACATCATATTTGCAGGTACATCTTGTTCATCTGCCCTTTATTGTCAAAGTTAGCTTTGATAACCCAGTCAAGGGGTTCCGTGTTTTCACTGCTTAGGAACTATTTTTTCCCCCCTTGAAAGAAAGAAATCCGCAGTTTGCAAGGAGATGTTGTAAGGTCAAGCTAATACTCTGCTCCTCATCAGAATTTCACCCTAGCTTTAGCATCCATGATAATTCTTGCCTGAGCCAATATTTTTTGTGATGCTTGGAAAATGATGGTTCTCTGGTTCCAGAACTTCTTTCACATTTACCAGGAAGCACATGCCATTTTATTGTAAAGAAAATACCTCCTTTTCATTTCTCTCTCTCTCTCTCTCTCTCTCTCTCTCTCTCTCTCTCTCTCTCATCATTATGATGTATGAGTTCTATCTTTTCATTTATATCTCTCTCTCTCTTTTATTATCATTATGGATGTATGAGTTCTACTTTTTTTCTTAATGGTTTACAATTTATGATTTCTTATATTTTTGCATTCAAATTGTCCTAAATTTGGCCAATGAGAATTCCTTCATATTTGGGTATAATACCTCTATTTCTCTGAGCACTTAAAAATTTTTCTAGTGTAAAAAGATATTTTAGGCTCATCTTGTACCTACCCTGCCTTTGCTTTGGATTCAACCATTTCTCCAAAGAACATTGGTTCCTTTAGTTGAGAATCTGAGTCCTAGGCATGCTTATTTCTATTGAGGTTTTACTTCTAATGTCTTTTGGCAGATAAAACTGCATGTGTACATGTTTGTGTAAAACACATAAATAGATATGTACATTGCACACACATATGCATGCAGATATGCATGTGGAATTATTTCTATTTATACCCATTGTTACAGTTTGGATCTGGAATGTCCCTCAAAGGCTCATATGTTGAAGGCTTTGTCTCCAATGCAGCAATGTTTAGAGGTGGGACTTTTGAAAGTGATTGGATCATGGACTCCGCTCTCATGAGTGGATTAATCCATTGATGGCTTCATAATTTGATGGCATTATTGATAGATGGTAGAAACTGTAGGAATGGGCGGGGGGATAGTTGGAGGATATGGGTCACTGGGGGTATCCCCTGGAAGAGTGTATCTTGTCTCTGGTCCCTTTCTTGCTTTCTTTCTACTTCCTACCTACCACGAGGTGAGAAATTTTCTCTGCCATGCCCTTTCACCATGATTTTCTGCCTCACCATAGATCCAGAAACAATAGTCAGCTGACTTGATCTGAAACTGTGAGTCAAAATAAATATTTCCTTCTTTAAATTGTTTTTCTCAGGTGTTTTGTCATAGCAATGAAAAGCTAACTAATACCATATAACATATTCATGGTTTAGAAACCATGAGTTTACATAGATCCATTATATTCCTTCATGGTTCTTTCTTTTCTTCCCTCATTAATATTTATATGTGCCTTCTTCCTCAGTGAGCATCCTGTTTCCCACCAACATCAATGCATTTTGTCATTTATTCAGTCATATAATACAATTTCATTTATACTTGGGCACAGTGGTCCCCATTCTTGCCTGTCAAAAATTACCAGACTCAATAACTCTATGACTATTTATTTATCCAAAGGACAGAACACATATGTCCACAAAAAGTCTTGTACAAGAATGTAGCAGCTTTATTCACACTAGCCAAAAATTGGTAACAGCCCAATTGTATTAACTGAAGGATAAACAGATAAAATGACATAGTCATACAATGGAATAGTATTTGGAAGAAAAGGATCAAACCACTATTACATGCAACAATAGGGATGAATTTCAAAGAATGCTAAGTTTAAAAGGGCAAACAGAAAACACCATGGTTCCATATATAGGAACAAGCAAAACTAACTTATGGTGATAGAACCAAATCACTACTGTACTTGCTTTTGGTAGGGATGGGACAGGGTAGGGCATTGCCTGGGAAGGGGATTAGTTATATGAGTGCTTGCATCTGTCACAATGCATTCAACTCTGTCCTCAGTATCTGTGCCTTTCACTGCTTATAAACTAGCCCTTAATTTTAAAAAACTGGTTGAAGTTGAGTTAAGGCTGCTCCTTTTAGTTGAAACTAGAACTCCTTCATTTAAAACTGCTCTTTCTGAATTGCTTCTTTGTGGCTTCCTTATGGGCTTATAACTCTCTGGTCCCAGAAGGCGTTTGAGTTTGCTACCCCCGTAAGTAAACTTTTACATCCTTTTATTATCCCATTACTTCTTTTAATTATTATTTTAAATAATCAGAATACCATAGATTAGAATTTCTTAGAAATTAATGACACTATCAATTATTTAAGTCTGGCTAGACATAGATGAGTTAATATAATAAGGACATGTACACAAATTGAAAATATTTAAATAGCAGTGGTTTTTAGATTAAGACTCAGTTAAGGGCTTTGTCAATCTAGCATGTGAAGACAAAAACCCAAACAAAACAAAAACGAAAACAAAAAAATTCAAACCAAAAAGCAAACTGGAGAGTAGTTGGGTCTTGCCAATGGAAGCAATTTATTTCCAATATTAAGTGACTAAATACCACTCAGTGGGTAAATGTTTTTCTCAGACCTTCTCGTAAATTCTGGTGCACACCACGCCCTTCATCATACATTCCTTAAGAAAAGAAAAAAAGATTAAGTATCTAAAACTTAAGACAGAGAACAACAAATTTATGATAAAATTAGAAATTGAAAATAAACATATAAGATGAAATTTAGAAAGAAATAAAATATCCCAGTATGCCAATATCCAGTAATTTAGGATGATGACCATTGAAACTAGATAAATAGTTTTAAAGTTGATATTTTACTATAAAGGAATTTTTTTAAAGTGGCAAGGTTTTTGCATTATTTGTATGCATTTAAATATACTAAAAGAGTGGTTTTCAAAATGATTTACCCTATCTGGAGAATATTTAAACATACTGATCCCACCCCAGGAGATCTGCATTCAATTGATCCATATTGGGCCCCCATTTTGGAATATACCCCTATGTTAATCTGTTGTGCAGCAAGGGCTAAGTGCCTCTTAAAAGTAACATTCCTAACATGACAGGAATCAGTTTACATTTGATGTATTTGTTAATTATTAAGCATGGAGCCTTAACCTTAAAGAGGTCATCTCAGGTAACCTTTGTCATCAATCTCATCTACTAAGAAGAGGTCTCCCTGGAGCTCAGCCTGCCTGATAACATGGTTCGGTGTATGTTACTGTAGATTCTTGGAAGCAGAATGCTTAGATGTCTACAAATATTCTACAATTGAGCCTTTCAGGATGCATTTTGCTATTAAAGTTTAGACATGTATTTTAGACTTCAAACCAGTAAGAGACTTATTCATACTTTCTTGAATTTTACTCTCACTTTGTAGATATTATTATTTCTAAAACTAACAAATCAACTTTGTTATTTCTAAAATCTTGATCCAGTTCTTGCAGATGAGTCTTTTATGATTTAAATATCAGTCAAGCATTAATCTTGACTTTATTCTTTGCCATTTTGTCCTTTGTATTCCAAAGAACAAAGAACATTTTGAAAATAATATAACCCTCTTATTTACATAGCATTATTTTGGTATTTAGAATTAGAAATACTCTTACCATTACCAGTTTTCCGTCCACCACCTTTCTCTTTATGGTGGTCTCTTTGCCGTCCCATTTCTGTACTTGATTCAGTGAGCCTTTCTCCAGGGTTACAATGCTCTGCAAACACAACTGCATGTCACTGACTTGCTGGACTTAAGCTGATCCAAGAAGCTATTCATTCAGTCCGGAACCATTTCATAGCAGATGTCTCGAGAAGCATGATAATTTCAACTCTGTTAAATACTAGCAGCATAACCTTCTCTCTCTCAAGCAGTTGCTTGAACCAACAGTAAAGAAAAATGTTAAGGATTACCTTGGTTTTCCTATTGTCAGCTGTGGTTTCTTCAAATTCCTGGCCCAGCTTGAAGGTGATCTCTGTGTTTTTAAAAGCACTTTCAGTTCGTATAGTAATATAGTCCCCTTTCTTGCTGATGATCACACTGGGTTTGGCCAGATTTCCCAGTTTCCTGGTGGCTAGCCCCACACCTGAAAACCAAGGTAGTGTTATAACATTGTGTTGACAAAGAGCGCACTTGGGGAGGCTAGGGTGACCTGTCCAGTGCTCGTTGTCTGTTATATGTATAGGTAGGCAGGTAGGCCCACTTACTACTAAGGGCCTCCTCCCATGTTTCCCCACCCAATAAAAATAAGAGTCTGCTACACATATATTTTAGGGTTTATTATTACAAATAAATATTTTAAAAAGTAAGTTTAATTAATACCTGTAGATTTTAAAAAGTAAACATGTTCAGGGAAAAGAGTGCACGTTGTCTACTTTTGCCCTAATCCTACTCTCCACTGTAAGTCAGTAATTAGGGATTTGTATGAAACATTGAAGATGTTTAGTAGCTCCAAAAAAAATAGTATATGTACAATTTTAATGAGACTATGCTATACACAGCAGTTCTGTGATATTTTCCCCATTAATAATATACTATGGCTATAGAGAAGAATTCCCATCATATCCTTGATATCCTCATTTCTGAAATTTTGTGGCTCCTAAGTCTAGCTGGTCAGAAAAAATAGCCACCTACCTTCAAAATCTGTATGGTCACAAATAGCCAGAGATGAATGAAAAGATTTTTTCAAAACTTTTCTATATTTGAAAAACTAAACAAAATTGGGCTCAAGCCTTATTGCCATCGCTATCAAATACATGGAAAAGAAGAAATGTCATACAAGAAATAAATGAAAAGAAATATAGTTTTATAAGACTCCAGTTGGAAGCCAAAATTCTTTATTTTTCCACATTGAAAACAACTTGTTTATCTCTATGTATACTAAATAAGAAGTGAAAAGTTGTAGCTAATAAATGTGGACGGTATTCTTTCTTCTAATTCTGATTAAACTTTCATTATTTTGTGTGATTGAAGACCATGTTTTTCAAACTATAATCTTCAGAGCTTGTGAGTCTACATTTACCAAGCCGCCCCGCAAGGGATCCTGTGCACTCTGTAATTTGAAAACAATGAAATTAGAAAGTTCCTCGTGGAGACCTTCTTGAATTTTCCTTTTCCTTCAGCTATGAAGTTAAGTCCATAAATCTAACCAGACTCACAATATGGACCCATACCTGTAAGTTCTCATAGTTTACTAGGCAACAATGACAGGCTTTTGTTCATTTATCTAAAATTAGAAGTGTATACATGAACTTCCAAAAGTTAAATAAAGCTACAGGCACTTTGACAAACATGGCAACCTGATGTTATCACCGTCATTCTCTACTATATTTACACAAATCTGGAAATTTCCAAAGACTTTTCTTATCTATTGTGTTTCTGGAACATTCTCTAGAAATGGTATGAAGTACAGTTGTAACCAAGGCTGATTTTTGATTTCCATCTTCTGCTCCAACATCAGGAAAGTCTGATGATTGGGTAACAGAGTTTGAATTCACTACCACAAACCTGGTTTCTTTTTCCTCTCAGCACCTGAACTAGGACATGAACATCCTACATGATTCTGTAATAATGGACAGAAATAGAAAAATTTTTTTAGTTTGCCTCAATACCAAAATTTTAAACTGAGATTTTTGTCTGTTTTAGTTTTAGTACTGGGGATTGAAATTGAACCCAGAGCCTTGTGCACAGTAGACAACTGTTCTACCACTGAGCTAAATATACCCAGGCCTTTACAAATTTTTTTCAGATTGAGTCTCTCTGAATTGACCAGGCTAGCCTCAAATTTGTGATCCTCCTGCCTCAGCCTCCCAAGTAGCTGAGATTATAGCCATGTACCCAGCTTAAATGGAGGTTTTCTATCATTCAACTCCTTATTTTACATGTACCTTAGTTGCTATAAAAAAAGTTATCATAAAAGTCAGTGAATAGGTTGACTAAGCTTCTAAAATGTCTTTCTTCCAGGTTTCCAATGAAAACCTTATTGGTATGAAACTGCCTTTGGATCAGTGTGAGTTCCAGGCATTTCAGTAGTTTAAATTCAGTTCTAGTACAACTGACACGGATAAAACACAAGTAAATTATCCGAATGACATAAGATTAATCCCTGGACTGTACTTCAGACTGTGTAAACATCCCCAGTCTCCTAGAAACGAAGTCAGAAGGAAATATTAGGCAGTTTTCCTAGAAAGGATCTTTGCAGCCAGAACAAGGAGCATTTCTTACCTAGAGCCTTCATGTAATCATCAAAGTGCTCACTGGAGACAAGTTTCCAGGTGCCCAAGAATTTGTTGCTCATGGTGACGACTGAGAGTTGAACACAGTTCTTGGTAGGATTCAGGAGACTGAGATGAGACGCTGAGGCCTCAGAAGATTCTTTTCAAAGACATCTAGAGCATGTGACTCTCACAGAGACCCAATGGGGAGAGGCAGTGTCAGGACTGTGGATGAATGGCTCTTCAATCACAAGCTGCCCATCCATCCTAGGAAGACAAAACCTACATAATGTTTCCTATTGTTTCCAAGAAAAAAAAATGTCTAAAAATGAATGAGAGTTCTATTTGAGCCTTCAAGAAATTTTTGGCTGGTCTCACATTGATAAATCATCTTACATTTTTACAGTCTTTTAATGCTTCAGAAAGGACTCCACAGAGGCTAAGACTGCAAATGAATGTGTGTGTGTGTATGTGTGTGCCTGCGCATGCGTGCGTGCGTGCTGTTTAGGCATCTTAGTTACTCTTGATGCTGAGTTTGCACAATTAAGAATTCTTATTGAAAGGGAAGAAAGAGAAGAAAATGTTCATGAGTACTGTGGTAAGAGTCTCAAATATGTTGTGGGAGAGAAACGCAGGGGAGCAGTGTGAGGAAGCATTCAGAGGTGAGGGAGTCTTGGCATAGTTCACATATACATCCCAGGCAGGCAGAGTGGGCAGACAATGAGGGCCGTGCAGCACAGTGGAGTACAGAAATTGTATTCATGTAATAGGACAAGAAGTTGCACTGTGACATGCTCTTTGACCGCAGCTAAGATTTTCATCTAAAAAAGCTTAAGTGCCAATTAAGCAGGTTCCTAGTTGCCATGACAAATTTGAGTCATTGAAAATAAATCTGCAGTTTTATAAAGTGGATTTTTCTATAATAATAATAATAATAATAATAATAATAATAATAATAATAATAGTAATGGATATTGAGAGTGCACTGTGGGCCAGTCACCGAGCTAAGTACTTAATACAGATTGTCTCATTTAATCCTGTCAGCTCCATAGAGTTAGGTATTGTTGATGCATCCATTTTTCCCAGTGAGGAAGACTGGAGCTCAGGGAAGTTAAAAAATGTGTCCAAAACTCATATAAGAAGAGGCAGGGATTGGACAGAGCATCATTCTCCACTACCTACACTCTGGTGGATTCTCTTACCCTATCCCTGCCTATAGGTTCTGACCAAAGATCCAGTAATACTGACATTGCCACAATTGCCTAAAGGCCCTCATTCTCTTTTCAAAAATCAGAAGAGGAGCCAACCAATAGAACCAGATGACTATGATACAGCAGAGCCCCATCTTTGACCAGGGGGAGCAAATGTAAATCCACGTGGAACATACTGGTACTCGTGGGAAGGCCTACTTGCTGCTGTGTCTTTCCTAACAGCTTTTCCATGTTAGCACCAATTTTGACTATGAAAATACTGACAATACCAGGTCTTATACAATTAGTTCATAAGTTGGCACCCTTCACGACAATGAACATATCATATCTCATGGTGAATTTACTCAGGGCAGGCAGAATCCTCGGCTTCAAAGGCTCAGGTAACTGGGTACCATAGCTGTGCCCTAACCATTGTAGTTATGTGGTCTGATTTCAAGCTGAATGAAAAAAAATGTGGAACCATCTAGAGTGGGCGCAAGTCTGCCACATTACCAGTCCCTGGGGAGGAGAGTGGGAAAAAAATACTGAACAGGAAAATTCCTCAGTTAACCAAATAACTGGACCCTGGACCCAAGGAATGTGATTGGAGGGAGGACATTGGATTGGGATGGAAAGAAAAAGAAAACCCAGCATGAAAAAAAGGGCTTTTGTTTCATGGACACATTACTTTCTTTTCCAGACCACTATAAAAATAATAGTAACACTTATACTTCCAACAATTTTTGTCAGCTCCACTCTATTAAGAAGTGTATTGGGCTATAACCACGACTACAGAAAGTGATGCTGTACATTAAAGTTGTATAGAAATGATAAAATAATTACTTGAGGTTCAACAGATGACTGAAAAAAAAAAAAGAAATACAATATTTAGCATTTAGGTTTTCTGCCTAAATCAATGAAGGACTAGATCTAAACCTTTGCCCTGGAGCTGGGCCCTGTATTCAGAGGTAAAACATTAGAGAGCTCTGGATTCTCAGTAGTCCTTGACTTGCACATAGGAATGACGGTGAAGTTTAAAACACACATTGAACCATTTATTGGCAAGGCAGAAATATTATAAAACTGAATTAATTTTAGATCAAGAAAACGATTTTCTACTTTAGGCTATTGGCAATTGGATCTGACTGCTCGGATTGACCAGATGAGTTTGGACTAAGAAGAAATTTAGAGGTCAATGTACCACAGTCTCCAGTACCACAAAACAAAGGTCAAAGGTACTGATCAAAGCAATGAGGGAAGATCCAGACAACCCATTAGGTCCTCCCTAATTTGGAAAGGCATCATATCCTAGCAGGAAAAGAGGCATACTAAACTCCAGAACCGTTTGGTAACAGAGGCATGCATTTAGGCTGGAACTGTTAGTGAGACAGATATATTTTATCTACAGGGTGGATTCACTCCTCTTCCTTTCTGTAACTTATTGCCCATGCAACTTCTAATCAGGGGAGTTATTTAAATCATACTCTGAAAAAGACCACCAGAGATCCAAAGAAAATGATAAGAAAAACTTGCTCTACATAACATGCCATAGAAATGTCCCTTAATTGCAGTTTTCAAGCTACATCAAATTGTATATTTGGGAAAGAGATAAGACAAATCATCATGTAGTAAATAAACAAAGAATTCATGATCTTTCACTTGGATGCCAAAGAACCAACTCCATTTTTTTGTCATTCATTTAAGTGCAAAATTATTTACTGAAAGCCTACTAAATGCCACCCACTGTTTGAGGTGCTGGTTAAATCCCATTGAACAAAATTTCCTGCCCTTGTGTAATTTACATTTCAATCATGATTCCATCAAGGCTTGAGGTCAGACATTTTAATTTTAGTGAATTTAAAATTACTATTAAAGAGAAATACCATGATAATAGTTGTTGTGAAAAATGCACATCATATGGTACTAGAAGGAATAATTATTTTTTAAACAATTGAGAAGATAATAAACATAGGCTTGGAACTTTCACTTTCATAGATGAGAGATGAGGACATTAAACTAATTTTTCACCAGGTATGGTGGTGTGTGCTTCTCAGGAGGCTGAGGCAGGAGGAACACAAGTTCAAGGTAAGCCTGGGCAACTTAGTGAGACCCTGTCTCAAAATAAAATTAAGAGCTGAGTGTGGTGGTGCATGCCTATGATCTTGGTTGGGAGGCTCCGGCAGGAGAATCACAAGTTCAAAGCCAGCCTCAGCAATGGTGAGGTACTAAGCAACTGTCTCTAAATAAAATATAAAAAATAGGGCTGGGGATATGGTTTAGTGGTTGAGTACCCCTGAGTCAATCCCCAGTACCCTACCCAAAAAATTTTTTTAATAAATAAAAAATAAGAAAGGACTGGGGATATAACTCAGTAATAGAGCACTGCTGGGTTCAGTCTGAAGTATCACAAAACAAACAAATAAACAAAAAAACTTTCCAACTGCGATATCAAGAGGGACAAAGTTAAAAGGAAAATTCTCCATGGCACCGGAGAGATAAAAAGAGAAAAATTGAGTCTAGGGTTAGGAGAGAAAGGAAAATCCAGAGGGATAAATACAGTATTTAGGGCTGCTGCTTCTCCAGGGATCTATGAATTTGTAATATCCAGGTGACAGGCAAAATCTGAGGAACATTTGTGACGATATTACAGTAAGGGAGAGTTCTGGCTAACCATCATACTTAGGGATTAAAACTTTGAAGGGCTATGACATTGTAAGAATGATCTGAAAATAAACTGTGTTGGTATCAATTCAGTTGTTAAAATTAGATTTATGTGATTGAAGACAGAGAACATAGCTACTAGAAAAAACTAATTAAAACCTCTCTGAAAAAAGAATGTCACCCAAGGTCTAAATTTATCTATATAATTTTTGTATGCATTGCTAATAAAAAATAAATCTCTTAAAGAGAAGAAAATATGGTCAAAAAGCAAAAGAAACAATTGATAGTAGAAATAAATGACCCACAGAACAAATATTAATAAAATAAGAATATAGAATAGAAAACATTAACAAACCCCAAAACATTTTAAAGACTAATAAAATTGATAAAGTCTTTGCAAGATGGATTAAAAATAGAGAAGGCTAAAGTTACTGATTATAGAAATAAAAAAGGGCACATTAATAGCCTGGCACAATGTCACATGCCTGTAATCCCAGAGGCTTGGGAGGCTGAGGGAAGGATTGCAAATTCAAAGCTAGCCCAGCAATTTATCCAGGCCCTAGGTAACTTAGTGAGACTGTGTCTCAAAACAAAAAATGAAAAGGTCTGGGGATGTGGTTCAGTGGTTAAGTACCTCTGGGTTTAATCCCCAATACAAACAACAACAACAACAAAAAAGGAACATTAATAAATTCTATGGTTTTAGTCAAGAGCTGATAGTCAGATTTATGGTCAGAACTCAGGAGGGTATCTGGTGCCCTTGCAGATTCCATTTTGCTCTGGATATCCCTAAACTCCTCTGTCAGGTTTCAAATAAATGTTTTCTCCATGTTTAATGATTAAAATTGCTTTCTTAGAGCAAATCATTCCTGTGACTTCCTCAGCTACCCCTGGATAGTTAGACTTTTGGTTACTATGGTGATGATTGCATTTATTCTGCCCCAAAGGTAGTCAATAGCTTTTCTTGTGTTGAATAGCAATAAAGAGAATGAAGAAGTAGTTTGTGATTCCTCCAAATAATGCAATTAGCTTGGCTTTTTATTAGAAGCTAACATGTATGGTCTTTTTTCCAAAGACTAGTCTGAGTACTAAGAGTACACCTGAGTATTGAAGTTTCTCACTGGAGAGGGAATATAAGAAAGGATTTCTGTATTTCAGTTTCTTTCTCTGGTCATTGTAGTATACATTGGGCCTCCCACAGTTTTTCTATTCCCTTTGCATTTCTCTAGGACAGAAAGTAATACTGCTGATGGAAGAAAATAATTCCTTAAAAATTATTCACTTACAAAACATAGTGCAAAGTGTGTATGTGTATATGTGTGTGTGGTATGTG